TTAAAATTTTGTTGACTATTTGTTGTCGGAAAGAAGGACTTTTGCCAATTACAAAATCCTTTATTGGTCGAAACTTAATTCAAAAAGTTGGTATTTTGGGGTTTGGACAATATGGGACAATACAAGATAATATCTATAAAAAGTTAATTACAAGTAAATGTTGAAGTCTGGAGTATTTCTCCATTGCCTCAACTCCATATTACTCTATATTACAGAGAGTAATGTCTTTCAAAACAAAACAATATTTACTGATCGCTACCAATATCATGATTTGAGAAAGGTATGGTTGCTTGGCTTTCTGAACGTTTTAGTATAACGTCATTGGTGAAATTAAATATACCAAAAATTAGAATCACACTCACTTGAATATTTATGCCCTTGAAGTACAAATTTCGAAAATTCCAAGCTTGTTTCACTTATTTCCAAATTTTCTTCCAATTTTTTAACTTTAATGTACGAGTTTTCATTATCAGCGGCTCACATACCAAATTTTAGAGTTCTACCTCAACCCCTTTACATTTAGTATTATTTCTACCTGTTATAGAAACTAAACTGCGTAATTTTTAAAATCGAATCTGGTAAAACTGGCAGCTTCAGCGGAAACTGTATTCTAAATTATATCAACTTTGGAAAATTTATGCTATAAAATAATAATCTAATATTAGTAAAAAACACATTTTTCGGTACGTTTTTCAAAAAAGTCCACATTATCGGCAACGTTTCCATCAACAGTTACGTACATGCCAAATTTCAATATCGCAGCCTCAGTCTTTTATTCTGGATGTTCAGTACGATTCTCTAACATTTTTAAATTTTGTATACGATGTCTGTCTGTCTGATGCACCCGCTTACTCTCGAAGGGACTATCCGAAGTGGCCCAAACTTGGTACTTTTAAAACTAATATCGAGTTCGGAGATGGGCAACATTGCAAAATTCTTTAACTCCTTCGGATGCCTCCCCCGCAAAAGTTCGGAAATTTCAAAGAAAATGTTTGACTGCACAGCAAGGGAAAAGATAATCAGATTTTGCTCCACCTTTGGAAATCCTAATATTCGCACCAGTGCTAGGTCAGGTACCTCCCCCACAAGGAGTCAAATTTGTTAAATAGTTATAACTCTTATAAAATGTGATGTAAGATTTCGATTGTCTTCAAATTACACACATCACAATATTTTTATTAACCCATGGTCTGATGTGAAGATGGAATAATCCTCCTGGTAATACCTCATAACACGCGAAATTAACATCCGGTTCCATTCCTTTTGGTACCTCCACACATAAGCAACTCTCTTCAAATTTCACACATACAAACATTTTAGCTAAAACAGGACCTGTTATTAAGATGATATATATCCGCAAACACCTTCTGGTAGCTCACCCACAAAGGGTTACAATTTTCAATATTTTTATCTGCGAAACAAGTCTGCGATGCTTTACAACTTATTATATCTAAATATTTCTCTCAACAATAAACCTGGCTTGAACATGGAATTTATGATTTCGCATAAAATGGGATATAACTGTCTGGTAACTTTAACATTTTCTAAAAAGTATCACATGTATAAAGTGAAGGGAGTAACCAATATAGTACAAACCTGGAACGTCGCAAATGTATATCATATTTATTTAAGTCCGCAACGAAATGGACTATATTGGCCCATTCCTTCGAAACCTACTCCATAGAGGGTCAACAATTTGAATAATCATAGATCTTTGAAATAAAAGACTTAAATTTTTCGGGGTCACTATCTTCCTACCCTATATCTTATGATGTAAGAACTCTAAAATTCTTTGCTGGGTTCTTTCGCTGACAAGCCACTCCAGACCCACTTCATTTGCTGCACAGTGGTAGCCAACAAGTCGCACATGTCATTCATTAGCTGACACTGTTAACACCCGAGCAATTCAACACAATGGGATGTGTGCGCCGAATTGAATATCCCCATGTCGGCTTTTAGGCTGAGCAAGTGTGCCGGCTCTTTGTGTACTCAGCATGCTATTCATTGAAGCTTTATTCATTGAAACTTTGTCCATTCATTCATGTTTTTATTTATGTTTTCTTTTTGTCTCAAAACATTGCTCCTATTTTTTTACAAATAATAAATTTGTTCCGAACCATTTGACATTAATAGGTGGTGGTGTTGTTGTTTCATGCCTTTTTTTTGTTTCCACGTGTGTTTGTGTGCGACAATTTGTTTAGATTTTTCTAAAATAATTGAATTATTTTTAACAATAGTATTTGTTTAGTATTTATTTGTTTATACTCACATAATTCGTGGGTATTATTTTTAAAGTGTATTGTTTTTGAAGCTTGTGTCTAGTAATGTGTTAATTAGAGTGCTAAAAATGTCGACTCCCTTGTTTTTATGCTATATCGGACCAACAAATAATATTATTTGTAACACAATTAATATTATTTTTATTTGTTATACAATTAATATTACTTACCACAAAAAGGGAACTTTGATATAAGATAAAGCAAAGTCGATGGGATGGACAAAATGTCTTTTAAAGATAATAACACTTGGCTTTTCCTACCAAACTACTAGCGTAGGATATATCTCTGTCTAGTACCCCAGAAAGCTATATATTAATTGAATTCGTGATCGATGAACATGAAGAGTTGACATACTTGCGAAGGAGAGACCCTTGAGGTGAGCCAGAATCCGCTATTTTTACAGAAGAGATGTCGTATAAAAATTTAATCTCGAATTTGTAATGTGGTCTACCTTTTGACTGCATTTGTTTTTTGGTATTTTGAAATACATCCTCGCAAAAATAGTTCAACGTAGTTCCAAGATTTAGGTTAGCCTCAAGATTTATCAGATATGGATATCCTGAAGTTCTTATCCATATTTTTCAACTGAATATAAAATGGGTATAATAATTGGATTTTAAAGGATTGTATACTACAACCAATTTTAAACAATATGAATGTCCACATGGCGAAGGCCCGGAAAGTAGTTTACAATAGTTGAAATATAGTTTTATAAAAAAAATTAGTGAAAACAAAAGTCAGTATTATCGTTATTCAATGCCGAAAATAAGAAGGAGCTGATGTATTTGGATAATGCCTAAATACCGACCGATATATTCTACTTTTTATCTTCCACCATGCATAGTATGCAGGGTATATTAAGTTCGTCATTCCGTTTGTAACTCATCGAAATAATCATGTTAGACCCAACAAAGTATATATATTCTTGATCAGCGTAAAATTCTAAGACGATTTAGTCCTGTCCGTCCGTCTGTCGTAATCACCCTACAGTCAAATCGAATTAAGGAAGGAAGCTAAAATTTTGCATAGATCTTTTTTTTTGTCTGCAGGCAGGTCAAGTTCAAAGATGGGCTATGTCGCTCCACGATATCGTATAGCCCCCATATAACGGTACCTCCCGATATTCGGTATTTCGATGATTTTAATCACATTTTTCAATGGAATTGTCTGAAATTCCACACAAGGAGTCCCTTGTGAGTACTTTACCCCTGAGAGAGAATTGTCTATATAAGTCCACGATATCGTATAGCCCCCATATAACGGTAACCCCCCTATATTCAGTATTTTAATGATTTCAGCCACACTTTTCAATGGAATTGTCTGAAATTCCACACAAGGAGTCCCTTGTGAGTATTTCACCCACTGAGAGCGAATTTTTTATATAGGTTCACGATATCGTATATCCCCCATATAACGGTAACTCCCGATATTCGGAATTTTGATGATTTTACCCACATTTTTCAATGGAATTATCTGAAATTCCACACAAGGGTCCCTTTGTGAGCACTTTATCCCCTGAAAGAAAATTGTCTATATAGGTCCACGATATCGCATAGCCCTCATATTACGGTACCTCCCGATATTCGGTATTTTGATGATTTTAGCTATATTATTCATCGATTTTTTTTCAAGTTCCGCATTTGAATATTGTAATGGCTTATGACAAAAGTTGCCTATGCAGGTCCATGTCATCGTATAGACCCTAATATAACGGCTACATTCGGATTTTATTATACCCTCCACCATAGTATGGAGAGTATATTAAATTTATCATTCCGTTTGTAATACCTCGTAATATACATTTAAGACCCCACCAATTATATATATTCTTGATCAACATAAAATTCTATGTCGATTTATCGGACGGACTGTCCGTCTCCCCGTCTGTGGAAATCGATCTAACTTCCGAACGAAATGAAGTAAGTTGATAAAAATTTACTCAAATGTGTCTGCAGGACTTTTTGAAAATGGGCTATGTAGGTCCACGTCTTCATATATTGGCCCTTTGTTGGGAAGGTACCAAAAGGAATGGTCCGATCTTTACCATCTTTATAACAGATTGAGATGTGCCAATCGTTTTTTCCAATGATTGTTTTTCGGGCTTAACCACCAAGAAAAACCGGTCTTAGTCCCCATCATAATGGGGATTACCAAAACGAATGGGTATATAAAAAAATTACATTTTTCGTCAGTGTATTTCCGGCACCGGCTTACGCGAGCTTAAATTTTCTAAATTCATACCATTTTCTTCTAAGAATTCTAAATATAGTGTGGTATGGATAATGTGTCGTCCAAATAAAATGTAGATAATTATGGTGTATAAACAAGCGCGATGAATAAGGATCTGCATTTTGATCAGTTGTTTTGATCAGGAATTGTTAACTTCCTTCAACGAAGTAGATGGAACTTGATAGATTTATATAAGAAATGCGCAATGTCTTAAAATGCCTACCATTGTTATTGATGCCCTGGTCACAGTTATTTTTCAAAGCATTTATTCAATTTGTATTTATTTTGAATAATTGAATTTCGAGTCGACAAAGAAACGTAAATTTTGAAGGCTAAAAATATTTCCTTCTCCAAATCTCATTAACTGCAATTATCGAGTGCACCTCCTATTTTACATGTGTTGATTAGTTATAATTGAGTCTTGTTTTCTCTTTGTCTGTTCAACGTCTGTGGCTGTTTGGGGGGATCACTTCATTGACATAGCCACACTCTCGCAAAACGGGTGGCCGAACATCAAATAGCAGTTACCCGTTCACACAAAAACAAAAGTGTAATAAAAGTGATCTGTCACTGCTGGAATTCAGTTTCAAATGCAACACTCGACCGTTAAAACAGAAAAGAAACAAAAAGCGCGCTCGAACAGAACAGAACGGAACGGAAGAAAATCGAATGCACTTCCCCGACGTGAGAAGAAATTAGCCACCGAATAAAAACGTCTAGCAGTGAAATTTTGGAAAACCAGAAATATTGAATACCAAATGTGTTGATTAAATATCCAAATAGTAATCAGATCTTAAGCGAAGCGCGTAAAGATGTGTGAATTAATAATTATTTGAGGGGTTTTATTTTGACAAATCTTGGCTGTACCTTAAGTCACCCGCCCATTGTCCATCAATCATAATTATCGCCTGGAAAGTGCTAAAATATGTGTTAATTTTATTGCTTTTAAACATTGTTCGAGTCCAGTTTTTCTGGGTGTGTTTGTGTGTGAATGTGAATATTGGAACGCCTTCCAAGAGTTAAACGTTGATGTAAGTTCATTTGCAAATAGTGTTATTTTTCATAACTATTGTTTTGTAATCGATCAAGTTGGGTTTTATCTAATTAATATTCAATATAAGTTTTTTGTTTAAGTATATTGAATGCAGATCTTTTTTATATTTGCTATTGTTCTGTGCATTTAATACTGGCATAAAACTACATATACAGATTTTTATTATCTATATCCGTGTCTGAAATCATTTCTGACAAATTTGGCAGACAGATTGACGTCCAAAGAAAGAAAATATTCAGTTGACAATGGTAACGTTGATTTTAAACAAGTAAGCAAAGGCTACAGTCGGGAGGGACCAACCCTGTGATACTCTACAGCAGTACAATTTATGGTAAAGTTTCTAGGCAATTCAGGCAATTGTCCCGAAATTTTGAATGGTTCTGAGCCTAGGGCCAATATCCGATCATACTTTAAAAAAGGAAATGAACAAATTACTTCAAAACCCTGCAAAACGAAAATTATATAATAAATCTTAGTAATTCGTATAATTTTTTTTATAATCCAATAATGTATTCCACTATCTTACAGGATTCATTCCTTCGCTTTAGTTTATGGTTCATTTCATACCTTAAATATTTTCTGATCATCTCCAGATATAATAAGTTTTTATACGCTACACCACATAGTGGTAAAGGCATTATGTCTTTGTGCATTTCTTTGTTACATTGACCAGGAAGCGAGATAGAACAATAGTTAATTTGAGGATCTTCATGGAATCACTTTCTGAGTCGACTTATGCATGTTAGTCCGTCCGTAAGTCTACGTATTCTTATGAACAAAATGCAGGTTGCATTTATTATCCGATTCCAAACAATATTTCTTTGGCCCAAGGACGTACCCTATTGGTGACAATCGGTTCAAATTTAGATATTGCTCCCATATATATATCTGAATCAATAAATGACCAATATCAGTCCAAATCACCTGAATTTTGGAACATCCTACCGAATTCAGTCCAGAAGCAAGTACATCTGGGAGAAAATTGGTTCAGATATAGCTATAGTTACCCATATATATAGTTGATCAGAATTGGGGGTTTAAGTCCCTCACATGCGTAATACACACCCCACAAGAATGATATTTGGTATCAGATAACTTATGGAGCTCAAAAATACCTCTGTCAAATTTCTATGTCATTATCCGATATCAGGTTTATTATGCACCAATTTGCTAATATAAGCCCAAATGGACTAAATTATGGCAATTCCGACTGAATTAATCATACAAGTTCTTCAAATTTGGTGAAAATCGGTTCAGATATAGCTATAGCTCCCATATATATGTTTCATTCGAATTGGGATTTTTAGTCCTTCACATTCGTATTATGCACTCTACAACAATTGTCTTTGGTACCAAATATCAGATACTGCTCGAATATACCTCTATCAAATTTTATCGAGATCGGTTCAGACTTTTTTTCCCCAAATAGAACAGATTTTTTATATTCAACCGAATTTGACTCGGTCCGGTATATCTGTTGCTCCAAGAAATGTTTATACCCTACACCACAAGGTGGTCAGGGTATTATGTCTTTGTGCATTTGTTTGTAACAGGCAAAAGGAAACGAGATAGACCCATAGTTCCTTTTGATGATCTGCATAGAATCACTTTCTGAGTTCATTTATGCATGCCAGTCCGTCTGTCCGTCCGTCTGTCCATATATTTTTGTGAACAAAATGCAGGTCGCATTTATTATCCGATTGATATGAAATTTTTCAAACAACATTTGTTTGGCCCAAGGACGAACCCTATTGAAATTGGAGATAATCGGTCAAAATTTAGATATAGCTCCCATATATATCTTCGTCCGATTTGCCTTTTATTGTGCACCAAACGTGTAATACCAGCCCGAATAGTATGGAATTTTGCACATGCAACCAGATTAGGTCTAAAAATAGGTATGCCAAATTTGAAGGAAATCGGTTCAGATATAGCTATAGCTCCCATATATATTGTTCATCCGATTTGTTATTTTTGTCCTCCGCAGCCGTAATATGCACTCTGTAAAAACAATATTTGGGGAAATATATCAAATGCAGCTCAGAAATACCTTTGCTAAATTTTATCGAGATCGGTTCAGATTTGGATATAGCTCCCATATATAACTTCGTCCGATTTACCTTTTATTGTGCACCAAACGTCTAATATTTGCCCAAATGGGATGGAATTTGGCACATACGACCGAATTCAGTCTAGAAAGTAGTATGCAAAATTTGGTGAAGATCGGTTCAGATATAGCTATAGCTCCCATATATATTGTTCATCCGATTTGTTGTATTTGTTACCCACCGCCGTAACAACGTTATTCAGGGAAATATATCAAATACAGCTTAGAAATATCTTTGCCAAATTTTATCGAGATCGGTTCAGATTTGAATTTAGCTCCAATATATATCTTTATCTGATTTAGAATTAATTTTGCACCAAATGGGCAATACAAGTCCGAATTTAAAAGATACAAATGCTTCGGCGTATTTAGTCCTTTGAATTTTAAATTATAATTATAATCATAGGGTGTATGATTGAATTCTCCCATAAAAACTATTACTTGTTATGTGGAGCTCAACTAAATTAGCAAAGTGGTGTAGGGTATCATAAAATCGGCCCCGCCCGACTCTAGGACTTTCTTTACTGGTTTTAATATAATCCTTATCGAAGTAGTATCATGCACTATACAGCAATGTTATTTAGTTAATAGTTGGTATGATCTACTTCACATACGAGTAAATTCACAATATTAACTTGTTTTGCAGCGGGAGCTCTACTGAACACGCATAGTGGTGTAGGGTATCATATAGTAGGCCTCGCTCGACTTTTGATATTTTCTCACTGGTTTTTTTTTTACAAAAACTTTCTATAGCTTCTAAATGCACCCTTTTAACGAATAAATAATTTTTTTAATATAGAATGAAGTTATGATTTATTAGGTATATACCTATTGGGTACTTTAGTATCCACTGTCCATCTCCTTTAATATATCTAGACAGGATCGTTTGAAAAGCTTTTTCGTAAAATTTTCAATAACAATAACTTCCAGTATTACTCGTAATAACAACCATATACCCTCTAGAGTACCAGAATCTCAAAAACATCGGCAACTACATTATATCTGCATTAACAAATAATGACATATTTCCCAAAAAATAAGTGAAAAAGTAATAAGCTCGGCCAGGCCGAACTTTGAATTCTATCCATCTTTTAAAAGGAATTTGGAAATTTAAAAAAAATCCGCTGAAAAATACTATTAAAATCATAAAAATGACGAATATAGGACATTTACGTTATATTGGGACTAATGCGATTTGTGTCACCAGCCATTACCGTAATGAAATATGAAACAAGTTACGAATTCGGGATTAAATTGCGACCAAAACACCGAAAAATACTTAAATATGTCAGTACAGTTATATGGGGGCTTTATCAAAACGTGGACCTATATAGACTATTTTCAATACCAAAAGTTCTGCAACCTAACACACATTTGAATAAAACTTTATTAACTTACTTAATTTTGTTAGGAAGCTATATTGATTTCCATGGACGGACAGACAGACGGCCGAACGGACGGACATCGCTAAATCGACATAGAGAATTTTATGCTAATAAAGAATATATATACTTTGAAGGGTCTAAAATTTATATTTCGTCTTAGGGTTCTAATCTACAAAAGTGGAACTTTCTGATGAGCCACTTAACCAACGGCCAAACGCATCGCAAACTAATGAAAAATATGAAAGTGCGAAGAGTTTTGCCGAAGCACATGCACTTCGGCTAACTATATTTAACGCAGTATAAACATTTGTTATTCTATAATGATTTACCGAAATAAGAAGTATTTTTGGCCACTAAAAGTCGACAGATATAAATAAAAGAAATTTATTTTGTTTTAAAATTTGATGTTAATTTTTTAAGTTGTCCATTGTTGATATTAAACTTACAATCTTATGAGATAGAGTCAATCACGCAGCACCCTGTCCCACTGTTCCGAAGATTAATTCAGGGAAGCATTCTATCGCTCTGAAATTTTGCTCAGACATTCAAATTACCTCTAATATGTTTGACATTAACAATGGGACTTATCGGCCCACGTTTCGGTAAGGCCCACACATAGCGTTACTTCCTGATTTTTGGTATTTTGAAGGTTTCGGCCACAATTTCAAACGCAATCATGAGTATCTTGACATTTTGAGTTCTGAGCGGACAAAATCTTTCCCTGCTAAATTTTGTGAAGATTAATCCACAATTAAGTATTGACGGTATATAACTGCACTTCCAAATTTTAGGTATTTTGGGAATTTCTCCCTGCAAAAAATATAATGGTACTTCCTAATATTAGGTATTTTGAGGGTTTCAGACAGAGTTTTTTACAAACTTATTATTTGGTTTCCCAATGGATGGATGGAAATATTACGAAAATTGCCTATATAAATCCAAAATTTGAGTTAAGCCAGAAAAAATAATTTATCCTTTGCAAAACCTTCTAAATCTGAAGGCAAAAATACTACATATTTTTATGAGAAAAGGAATAATTATAAAAAAAATATAAAACAATACAAATTTGGCTAGCAATTAAGCCTTCCTATCTGAAATAGACTAAAACCTTAAAACTCCACATACTTTTCGGATATGGCTTAAATAAGGTAATATTTTGAATTAATTTTTAAAATATTTTTACATCATTATTTTTAATACTTTTTTATTCTAAAACACTGATAACTACCTGTTTTCGATGTTTCAATTTTAAAATAATAACTTTTGATGAAAAAAACTAAATTATTGCACTTGAAAAAATCCAAAGAAAATTTTTTTCCTTCTTCTTGCTAAAAAGTGAAATATTTCTTAACTTTGCCACTGTGTATTTAAAAAACTAAACAACGTATGACTTTCAAATCTTCGGTACTGAAGTAGAATTTAGTGTTCAATAATAGTTTAGAAACATTTATTCCAAAAGACGAATTTCATTTTTCAATTAATCTTCATGTTTTGTGATTTAACCCTTCTGTGCGACATTACTCGTTTCTTGGTAATGAGAAATGTAAGTACTTATTTTGTATGTTTTAGGAATAACTCAACATACTGGTAACGCAAAGGAAGTTTTGTACACGTTAAATAAAGATTCAGGTCGAGTGTCAAGAAAATAGATCGAATGGTTCTTTTGAATTACTTTTTTCGCGCAAACCCCAGATATTAATATCTATTTGATTTACATCTTTACTAATTGAAACATTATAAGGAGGAGGTTCACACCAAACTACGATTACATACAGACGTCTTCCGTTGGTGTAGGGGACAAAAGTAAAGTTTGTAAATATTTTTTGTATATAATACAACATCTAAATTTATCGTCATTATATATGTCGCATAATTCTGACCATGTTCATAAATACTCATGGAATATTCAAATAATTTTATTCAATTAAAATCGCCCCTCCATTTAGGAAATATGTTTTGCATTTGTTTTTTGTTGTTGCTGTTGTTTTATACCGGTATTTACACGCCTCAACACATGCCACACCAAGTTGGATTGATTCGAACGAATATAGTTTGCATTGCAGTACCCAATATTTCATTCACATAGAGGGAAAAAAAACGAAAAAAATGATCGGTACACACGTTTCTATACTCGTATTCAGTATTTGCTCCGTTCTGTAATTCCATAATAAATCAATAAAACTTATTTGCATTTTCATTTCATTTTTTTTTCATTGCGTCCACGACTTTTGCTGTACGTGAGATAATTCTCTATTGATTGTCGTTCTAATGACGGTACTTAGAGCAATTTTTATTCGTCTATAACTAGGTAAAAGGTTGTGTTCTCTTTTTTACAAAACCAATGTGTTTGGAGGAGTTAAGACATGTTTTACAAGCGGAACAAAACCGTCCTCAAAAATGGCCACGATTCCACCACCTTGTGGTATAGGCTGTTATGTTCTTCTGCATGTCTTAGTACTAAGCAAAAGGAGTCGATTTATAAATGTCCGTCTATCAATGTGTACTTGTCAGCAAAGAACACCTTCAATGTGGAAAAGGGGTGCCCTCAGATACTTCTCTGCGAGGACGAAACCGGGACTAGGAAATAGTACTATAAGAAGAGTGATCTATTTTACCTTTACTTAAATGCAATGGTCATAATTATCTAATAACAACTAAGCCCATTATCAATAACAGTTTCTAAAAATAGATATTTTTTAATTAGAAAAAAGTATGTATTTTCTGAAATTGAAAAAAAAAATCGTCTTAAGGACACTTCAAGCTAAAATGTTAACTAAATGTGTGAGATTACTTAGAATTAGTATGTTTATTACCGAATACTAAATAGGAAAGAAATTTAATGACAACAATAATAGGAGGAAAACAATGTGAGCCGTTATTGAAAATTTGTCGTGGTTTAAAAATTGGAGCTGATATCATTGATATGTCGAATATCAGGGAGGGCTTACATTCACTTAGAACCTGAAATGATGAATACAATACGAAGTGGTGGACAAACATTTAGTACCTTAAATGTCATTTTATTTAAGAAGTTGTGACATGTTAGTAACATATTATCAGTCGGTATTACCAAGAGATATATACCCCCAACTTAGTATCTGACCTAAGTAAAGATTACAGAGAATCGCTGACTTGTTTCGCAAGTTATAAGATATACAAATGCTTAAAAATGTGATCCTTTGTGGAAGAGGAACCAGAAGGGGTGGGCCGATATATATCATCTTCACACCATATCTTTTGTTAGCAGTATTGGAATGTGCAAAGTTTAGAAGGAATCAAATTCATATTTCGTATTTTATAAGAGATGTAGGAAGGAGTGGACAGATACATTCCATCTTCACTCCAGATCTTTCGTAAGTAGGAATATTGGGATCTGTGAAATTTGAAGAAAATCGCGCGCTTATATCGCTTTCATAAACGTTTTATTATTTAAAATGTTGACCCCTTTTTGGAGAGGTGCCAGAAGGGTTAGGTCGATGTCTATAATCTTCACACCAGATCTCGTCTTTGTAGAAATATTCGAATGTTTGAAGTTTGAAATGAATCAGATACTTATTTCGCATTTTCTAAAAGATATAATTATTCAAAATTTTGAAACGTCCGATATATATCATCCTCATACCAGATCTTGTGACAATCCGACTCTTATTTCAGATGTTATTAGATTTATAATTTTTAAAAATGTTTACTGTTTGTGGGGGAGGTTCTTTATGGAGTACTTCCTTTCTTGTTCTTTTAGGTAAATTATTTTCTGTAAACATTTTGATTTTTTTTTGTTATCGTGGGCCCAGCCAGACAGACAGACGGACGGACAGGCATTAATGGAACGACTCCAAATGTCCTGAAACGAATTTGGCCCAAAGAGACTTGGAGTCTAAACTCTTATTTCGATGAGATATGATATATATTCTCTATAGCCATATGGCTGAGGGTATAAAAATTGCAATGGACGTTTTTTAAAGCAAGAAATCATTTTTTTTTAACTAGCCATTTGAATAAAAAAGTAAAGGTATTATGTTCATAACACTTTTAAAGGCTCGAAAACGAACAATTGAAAAATACTGTTTAGATATAGATAGATATACTGTTTTTACTGGCATAAATGGAAGGAATTTGAAAGCCTCATAAGTCTTGAACGCCTCGTCTGTATAAACATGATCTTTAAAATAGCCCCAACAAAAAATTTGTAAAGGCGTAAAATCTCACGATCTAAGCAATTAATCGATCAAGAATGTGAAATTAAATGTTCGCGCTGCTTGGCACTGTCTTGTTGAAACCTCATGTCATGCAAGTCAAGAGTTTTGGGTATAACTTTTGTTAGAATTTAAAATGTTGTTAGAATTTAAAATAACTAAAAAAAACTTTAAGTTCGGCCGGGCCAAACTTTTAATACCCTCCACCTTAGGGTAAAGTAAACATTAGAAGAAATGCCGAATATCGGCAGGTACCGTTATATTGGGGCTATACCAAATCATGGACCCATACATGTAATGTTTTGCCAAACGCACAGGGACCCGTTATGACCTACAAATACCAACTTTCAGACAAATCCGTGAAAAAATGTGGCATAAATCCGCCACCGGAGTTGGAACCCATTATGACCAACGAATACCAATTTATAGACAAATCCGTGAAAAAATGTGGCAAAACAAAAAATTAATATACCGAATATCGGGAGGTACCTTTATATTGGGGCTATACCAAAACGTGAACCCATACATGCAATGTTTTGCCACACGCGCAGGGACGTTATGACCTACAAATACCAATTTTCAGACAAATCCGTGAAAAAATGTGGCATAAATCATCAAAATACCGAATATCGTGTGGTACCGTTATATGGGGACTGTACCAGAACGTACAGTCATTTTCAATACAACCATCCTAGACACAATACAAGTTTCTCTGCTAAATTTTGGCGCTCTACGTCAAATAATGTGGGCTGTATCGTGATTTCAACAGACAGACGGACATCGTTAAATCGACTTAGAATTTTATGCTGATTATGAATATATATACTTTATGGGGTCTACGACGAATATTTAAGGATGTTACAAACAAACATAATATACCCTCCTTTCCAAGGTGGAGAGTATAAAAAAAACACGGTACCTACCGATATTCGGTATCTTGATGATTTTTGTCTCATTTTTTCACAAATTTGTCTAAATAGGTTCAATGTGTTCTAGCTTTTGTGGCGAAACATTGTATGTATAGGTCCACGTTTTCGTATAGCTCTCATAAAACGGTACCACCCGATATTCGGTATTTTAATTATTTTAGCGACATTATTCACATTATATTATTTGGTTTTTGAAGTTCGTAATGGATACTACAACCTATGACAGAAAATTGTCTGTGCAGGCCCACGTCTTCGTATAGCCCTCATATAACGGTACCCCCTATATTCGGTATTTTGATGACTTTAGGTACATTATTCGCCGACTTTTTTCAAGTTTCGTAATGGCTTATGACAAAATTTTCTTTTTATTATTATTATTACTATAATTTTCTTTTTTTTTTTTTTGAAAATTGCCAAATTTGTTGCCTGTGGTAAAGGGTATTTAAAGTTCCGGCCGAACTTACAGATTTTTTACTTGTTTAGTAACTTTTTATACCTTCAGTCTAATGGGCCCGTCTTTCAGATGTACCTTATTTGTGTGCCATTTAGTACGAAGTTTCAAAAACTCCATTTTATCAGTTTATTTCTACATTCGACGCCTTTCTGTTTCTTCTGGGCTTTAATGGGGCTATCAATCGCTCATTTTTTACAATTTTATATGTATATCTTGCATATTGGCCATGTTATAAACTTTTTCCATATTTTTTTATGAAGTCATTATCAGTATAACTTATATCAAAGGGACAAGTTCTTCTGTTTATGTGAACTAGAGTAATTTTGAGATTTTTTATCTGTTTATGTTTTGCATTTTATTTCCGTTATAGCCTAAATATTTGTACTAGTTTTAACTAGTTTCCTGTAACGACTTTCAAGTTAAATAAAGATTGTGTGAATTATTTTTTTTTCATTTCCCCCCTTCAGTCATTATGACATCTTCCACTTTTAGAAATAAACCTGCTTCTTATCATATATTTTGTAATTTTTATCTCAAGTAGTCTACAGATTCTATTCAATGGCGATGATTTTATATATGATATGACGTATTTAAGTCAAACACTTAAAAAAAAAAACAAAAAAACTTCACACAATTGTATTTAACTGTGAAAATGTTCTCGATTGCAATGAAAATACGTTAAATATAAACATTGCATTTGTGTTAAATTGTTTACCAACTCATTAAGCTAACCGAATGTCGTGTCGTGTTTTCTTCTTCTTTTTTCAGATTATTTTCACCTTAAGTCAATATCTTGTGTAAATATCAGAAAAATGATTTCACGTTTAAGATGCAATTTAATGAACAGCTATTCAACATCCGATGATGGTAATCAGACTTCACCGGAATCAGATAAATCTGTAATGGAACCGCTGGCCGATCCAAAGAAATTCACCAAATCGGTGTCAATTGATCCGGAACCAGATTCATTGGATAGTGTACTCTCGAATCCTCATTCGTATCCAATAACAATAATTCCAAATCGTCCCACCACCTACTATGGCCTGACAATGCACAATGGCAAGCCGTTCACAAGGCAAGCGAGTTGCAGGTAAGTGAAATGAAATCTTTTTTGTGATTTTGGAAATTTGGGTATGTGTGTAGTGTCTATAAATGTATTGATGTGATCGAAACCCGCATCGCAGTGGTGAAAAATGGCTAGTGAGCGCAATATTCCATTCGACAAATATTAAAAAATGAGCTCGATGTAAAACCATTGAAATTCCAAAAAATGCAAGAACTTACACAGCAACAGAAAGAAAATAGACTCAAAAGAGCTAAAGATTTGCTATGCTTGGCCGAAAGTGGTGAACTGCCGAATTTGGTTTTCTCCGATGAGCCGATGAGAAAATATTCGTTGTCCAGGACTTTGTAAACAAACAAAATGATCGTGTTTACTTTTTAAAAATGAAGAAAAATATAAAATAATGCTCAAAATAACAGTATTTAAAATTTATCAATTATCTATCTCGGTCTGTGTTTCCGGTTTATAGTTCCGCGATAACACTCGGCGTTTATTCTGATGCCACGGTCGATTAGTACGAGCGGAGAGCGACCATCGGTTGTTATGGCGGCCGACACCATCACCGTGGCCGGTGCTTGAGTTTGGTGGCCAACCGAAGGTGCACATTTTCTGTTTGCAAGTAAACACGATAATTTCGCTTGTTTCCAAACTTCTGGACAACGAATGTTTTCTCATCGGAGAAAACCAAATTCGGCAGTTCACCACTTTCTGCCAACCGAAGCAACTCCTTAGCTCTTTTGAGTCTAATTCTTAGAAATGACAGCAGTCTGAAGAGTTGGAGTTTTTTCGTCTCACCCTGTATAACCCATTCCCAGTTACCAACAGAGACCTTAATATCAAATTCCGGGATTCCAGCTCTATCTCTTCACCCAATTTTGTACCACTTAGTACTTTCCATATAATTATAGCACACATTTCCACAACCAATTCCATATTTCAATACCAGATACCAACAGAGAACTCAATACCAAATTGGAGGATTACAATCCTATTCCTACACCCAATGCCAAATTTAGTACTTTTCGAGGAACTTTAGATATCAAATATCGGCATTCCAGCTTAGTAACACCATTCAGTGCTCTTCGCACAATTATAACACACATTTTCAAAACAATTTCCATATCTCTATCCCTGATACCAACACATACCTTTCACCGAATACCAAATTTAGTACAATTTAGTACTTTTCGTACAAATTTAGAACGAATTTTCAAACCACCACTAAATCTCGAACACAGATACAATCAGTAATCTAAATATCAAATTTCTAAATTTATCTCTGTCCTTCACTCAATACTAAATGTGGTAGCATTCAGTAATTCTCGTACAATAATAGTACACATTTCCGAAACCAGCTCCATATGTCCAAGGTACATATGAACATCGACCCTGATTCCAAATTTCAGATTAAAAGTACCATTTGTTCACCCAATACCACATTGTACAAAATTTACTGTTATTTAGCACTTTTCGTGCACCCGTAATACACATTTCAGGGATCAAAATATCAAAACTCCGAAATTCAAACTCCATTCATCCTAATCCTAACTGTTTATAATTTAGTACCATTTAAAACGGTTCCTACAACTAATACACATTTCCAAAACCATCCTAAACCCTACTTTCCAATTTAGGTTCCCATACCAAATGTCAACTTTTTAAATCGTTCGGCACAAAGTCTGAAGTTTTATCTGACTAGTCGGGTCGACGTAGGGCCGAATTCTGAGCAACTTGTCTGAGGATTTTTTTTCTGGTTGTAGAGTTTTTATACCCTACAACACTATGTGTTGGGGGTATTATAAGTTTGATTGGGCCAAAAATTATGTAACACCTCGGAATATTGGTTTCCCACGTAGGAAAGTATATATGGATCTTCCTATCTCGCCGAGCTGAGTCGATCTAGCTATGTATGTCCGTCCGTCCTTCTGTCCGTCTGTCCGTCTGTCCATGTTAATTTGTAATCACTCTACAGGTCGCAATGATGGCCCGATCTTCACGAAATTTAGAATGGAGGTGGGGTCTGGGCCAGAATAAAACCCTATTGCTTTTGGAGATGATCGCATAATATTTAGGGGTTGAAATGGTCCAAATACTGAAAAATTTCCTGATTTTGCAGTTGCTCTACAGGTCGCAGTTACAGACCAATCGACGCGGAAGTTAGCAAGGGGCTAGAGCTTAGGGCTGGCCAGAAGTCTTCGAATTTTCGTGGTCATCGGGTAATATTTAGTGGGTGAAATAGACCATAGAATTTGTGTTAAATAAAAGTCAAATTTTTCATTAAGCCGCGAATATTTTTAATCCCGGCGAAATCACAATAGATGAAGAGGTCAATTCGGACCGTTACGTAGATGCCGATAGTAAATATATCTGATATATTCGGGAAATATATACAATGTAAATATACAATGGAAGGGGATGTTAGCTAGAATGCATATATCTCAAGAATGGCTCTACCGATTTTGACAAATTTTGTCAATTCAGAATGCCCTCTTGGCATAAGAGAAAAAATCTAAAAAAAATCGCATAAAAATGTGCCAATAATGGTGTTATTATAGATTTTGTAGTATTTTGTGACATTTTTTATTTTTTCATATTTTTTATCGCATGGGATTTTTTCAATTTGACTTATAATATTGAAGTATACATTTTGCAAAATTTTTTTCACTTTACAACACGGGTTGGGGTTATTATATACAGATTGCAATTATCATCCGATCTTCACGAAAATTTTCACAAGGGTAGGGTTAGGCTCAGAAGAGCCATTGATTTCAAGGATGACCGCAATATATTTAGGGGTTGAAATGGACCAACCACTAAAAATGTTCCTGATTTTGCAGCCGTTATAAGATCGCAAATAGAAAACTAAGGACTCGAAATCTCGAATGTAGTTAGGGTTTAGGACGGCGGTTAGAATGGACCAATACTTTTGTGTGCAAAAAATACCAACATTACTTACAAGCGATATCCCAAATACACAAAAGGCGAGCTTCTGGCTTTTTTATGCTGCTTTCGTTGATGAATATAGCCAAATATCGTAGTCAAGGAAATCATATATATGGGTCTAAATTTGTAGATGCATAGCGGCTTCTTGCTTTTAGAGATGATCGCAAAATATTTAGGGGTTTAAATGAACCAAAAAAGAAAAAAAATTCCTGATCACAAAATTGAAGCCAATCGACACGCCTGAGAAGAGAGTTAAGGACAGGGAAGAATTCTTGAATTTTAGATGACCATTGGATTATATTCTATATTTTATATAAACCACAACAACTAACAGCATGACGGAGTGCGTAAATATTAGGCAAATGACCCTGGTAAAATATGCTAAGGGTAATATCTGGGCAACGCTCCGTGAAAAGCGGAATCTTCAAAAAAGGATTTGGACATAAGGAGGCTTCTAATATATTGTAGTGTTGTAGGGTATCGCATGGTCGGCCCCGCACGACTATAGCCTTTTCTTACTTGTTCTTTTCTGCTTTGGTGGTAAAGTTTGTTGTAAACAAGCAAAAATTAGTCATGACATCATGATAGTTGTTGTTAATATGTATATCAGAGCTTCATGAGACCATTCTTCCGAATACGGTCCGAGAACTGTATCTCGAATTTCCCTTCTGAATTTCCCATGGATATCCTTGCGAATTCGATTCGACTCCGGTTCGAAAGTCGGCTAAAACCTCAGTCTGACAACACATCAACCGCTCCATATAACTTTTGGTCAGAAGTCGTATCGAATACGCATCCAACATCGTCAGTTTCATCCGACTTTCGGTTCGAAGTTGGACCGAACTTCTTTTAATTTCTAGTTTCAGCACAGTACATTCATGAATGTTCTGTGAAAAAAGTCTATAAGGAACATACAGACATACAAAAACTGAGTTTTATAGATATAAATAAAACCAGTAAGGAAAAGTCAACAGTCGGACGGGGCCGACTGTATGATACCTTACACCACAATGCATATTTAGTAGGGCTCACGTAACAAAAGAATTTATTTGAAGTAGATCTACCTTTCAACCTTTGGTTCTTGAGCAGTTATAATTTGAACTCAGAGGGAACTAATATATGAGAGGCATATCCAATTCTGAATCGATTTTCACTAAATTTGACGGAGACATTTTTATCTTTTATACCGATAAAATTGCTATAGGGTGAATGAGAATGATTATATTAAAAAATATATCGGAGCCGAGTTCCTCAAAATGGAAACGTACGTTCCGAAATTCACTCTATGTGGGCTGATATTAGCTATTATTTGCACAATAAATCTGAAATCAGATTAAGGATATTTAGTAGCTATATCCAAATCTTACCCGATCTCGATAAAAATTGACAAAGGTATTTCCGAGCTCTATAAAAAATCTGGTACCATATATTTGGCAATTGGTGCACAATTAACCCGAAATCGGTTGAAAATATACATGGGAGCTATATCTTAATCTGATCGGATTGTCACCAATTTCAGTGGGGTTCGTCCTTGGGCCAAAAAAATATTGTTTTGAAAATAATAATAAATGCGACCTATTTTGTTCACAAGAATACATGGACGGACGGACTGACTGACATGCATAAGTCTACTCAGAAAGTGATTCTATGAAGACCCTCAAAAGTAACTATGGGTCTATCTCGCTTCCTTCTCCCTGTTACAAACAAATGCAGAAAGGCATAATACCCTTAGCACTATGTGGTGTAGGGTATAAATATCGTTACTAAGATATCGGCTTATGACCTTTATTTTAACAAAATGTCCAAGCTGGTGATTAAAAATCGTGATGTTTTTGCCATTTTCGTCTAGCACCTTGTTTTCGATTTTGTAAAAAGAAAACGAATAAAAATAACTGAGAATATTCACGTGATCTCGGCGGATTAAATACTCGTTTAATTTCACATCAAGTGCGATCAAGTGTGAAATTGTTATTTAAATGGCAGTCGGTACAAATGTAAATATTTTTTACACATATCTCTATGTATGAAACGACAAGCATACGTCCAAACAGATCTACTTTATATCTTCAACATTTCTCACATTT